GTTGTGCAACCACCAGCTCCAACAACTTTCAAAACACTTTTTTTCACTCCCAAAGAATATCCCATACCCATTAAGCCGTCATCCCCTCCCATTTCTCCTCCGCCTCAGGCTCTTACTTACCAACAATCTTCTTTCTGTCTCTGTGGATGTACCTATTCGGAACCCCTCATATAAAGGGAATCATGCACTATGTGCCCTTTTGGGCCTGGCTTCTTTCACTTAGCGTAATGTTTCTGAGGTGCATCCAGCTTGTATCACGCACATTCCTTTCCTTGGCTGAGTCACAGTCCATTGTGTATATATACCACATTCTGTTTATTAATGGGTCGATTAATGGAAGGACGTTTGGCTGTTTCTTTCCATTCACTACTCACTATTCACTACTGTGAATGCTTCTATGTACATCCCTGTACAAATATTTGTTTGAACATATATTTTTAACTGTTATGGATATTATGCCTAGCGTTTGAATTGCTGGGTGAAATGGTTAAATCAGTGTTTAACTCTGAGTAGCTCCCAGTTTTCCATCGCAGTTGGAACAACTTACATTCCTACCAGCAGTGTGTGAAGGATGGAATTTTAGCTAGATGATAGTTAGATAGAGAGGTAGAAAGATAGATAGATAGATAGATAGATGAGAGATAGATAGATAGACAGATAGATAGGCAGATAGATAGATAGACACTGTATTAGAGGTAAAAACTAATATTTTAAATAGTATTATTAACTACTTAAGATAAAAATATACTAATAGTAATAGAGAATATTTGAAATATTTTTGCAATCCTCTTTAACATCTGACTTATAGAAGACAGCTATATTTTCATACCTGCTTCCAAATACAATCTGATGCAGCATTACATGCCATAAAGTCTCTAGGAAACAATGTACACTAAAATAACATCATAGTACTGTGACAAGAATAGTTTTGAACTCATGGACCCTCTGAAAGGGCGTCAGGAACCCCCAGGCACCCTGAACACACCCTGAGGACAACTGACCTAGACCCGGCATTTCTCTAGGGGATATGTAAAGGCATCACATCTTCTTTCTAACTTATAATATTTCTAAAAAAAAAGATATATTCTCCTAAATAGCTATCTCATTACCCTGAGATAACCAAAACAGATTAAATAGTTAATTCTTTTCATTTATTTACAAGTTTTCAAGAGAATGAATTGTTTGTATAGCCTCCTAGGTGACCAATGAGTTAGTTTTTGCGTGACTGCATGACTCGTGAGTTTCAACACTTTTGAAATGCTTGACTCTTTCCTGGCCATTGTTTTTCTTCAGGCTCACGTTGTCCCGTCTGTGATATGGGATTCTTTTCAAGTCAGCCACTTCTGACCTTTCAACTCATCTTTATTCCTTAGCTCTCCAGGACTTCCTGGTGTGGCATAGTTGTTCCAGAATCTTGTAGAAATTCTCTTCCCCAAACTTGAAATTAGCCATTTCTCCAAAGTGTTTTAGTTCCTTTTAGTGAGAAAATATGTTGTGGAAGCCATTATCTAAAATCCCAGGTCAGACTTGGTTTCTGGGCTTTTTCAGTGGCTGGGACCTTTTCTTATTTTTAGGGATAAATACTGTGGTTTCATATTCACACTTTCAATTCAAGTTTAAAACTACAGAGCTTTACTCATCTATCTCACATCAGCTTCTCTTCTCCCACACAGAAAGTCCTGGTTCCCAGTGAGTCAACACAATGATGCTCCCACCCAGCCCCACTGTACACTGTACTCTGGACAGGTCCCCTGTCCTGCTGTGCACTGTATCCCACTAG